AGTGAAGCTGATAGAGGCCTGGGGTTATATGAGAATAATGCCCAGTCCCCGTCAGCAACCTGGCTGCTCTGTTTTGCACCATCTGAAGTATCCGGACCATCTTCAGGGGCAGCCCCACATAGAGCACATTATAGAAATCCAACCGGGAAGTAACTAATGCATGTGTCACTGTCGCTAGGCAGTCTTCCTTCAGGTAGGGACGCAGATGATAGATTAGCCGAAGCTGAAGGAAAGCGCTCCTCGCCACCGCAGTCACTTGAGCTTCCAAGGACAGCTCCAGGTCGAGGAGCACTCCCAAGCTGCGGACCCTGTCCTTTAGAGGGAGTGCAACCCCATCCAGGGCAAGGTCCAAGTCACCTACCCAGGAGCTCGATCCACCCACCAACAGGACTTCCATCTTGTCTGGATTAAGTTTCAGTTTATTGGCCCTCATCCAGCCCATTACCTCGGCCAGGCACCAGTTCAGTACAGCCACTGCCTCACCTGGATCGGTTGAAAAAGGGAGGTAGAGCTGGGTGTCATCAGCATACTGATGATTCCACAGCCCAAACCTCCTGATGACCTCTCCCAGCGATTTTATGTAGATATTAAATAGCAAGGGGGACAAGATGGAACTCTGCAGTACTCCATGGCATAACTGCCATGGCGCACAGCCAAAGTCCCCCAGCACCAACTTCTGGAATCAGCTGTTGAGGTAGGAGTGGAACCACTGCCAAGCAGTGACTCCTACTCCCAATCTGCCAGCCTATCCAGAAGGATACCATGGTCAATGGTATTGAACGCCGCTGAGAGGTCCAGGAGGACCAACATTAACTCCCCCTGTCTCTCTCCCTGCACAGGTCATCATACAGGGCGACCAAGGCAGATTCAGTACCATACCCAGGTCTGAAGCCAGACTGAAATGGGTCCAGATAATCAGTTTCATCCAAGAGTGCTTGAAGTTGTCCTGCCACCACCCATTCCAACACCTTGCCCAAAAACGGGATGTTGGCCACCGGTTTATAATTGGTTGCCATCTGTGGATCCAGGGATGCCTTCTTTAGGACAGGCCAGATTACTTCCTCCTTTAAAGGAGTGGGCACCCGGCTCCTTTAATATTTCCTTCACAAAATGATTAACCAATGTAGACAGATGTAATTTTTTATTCCCCTGTGTATCCACATGGGCTTCTGACAGTTCTATATAAGAAAAATATGCAGGTGTGATTCAGGAGTTTGATATTAAATAGAATTTTGTAAATGAGAACATGCTATATGCTAAATATCTGTCTTCCTATACTGAGCATTCCTACAAGAATTAGAATTAATAGCTCTAAGCCAGCAAAGAGGTGACATAACCACATTTTTGAGAGAAAAATGCCTTGGAAAATTAAGCTACCATATTTGACAATGCATGTAGTGGTGTAGATAGGTCCATGAAACTTTGTCTTCCTTTCTCTGCAATGAAATGCAATTAGATTAAATGCAATCAGAATAAAATATCACTCATCCATGACTTAATCATGAGTGAGAAAGCTGACCTGGCATGTATTACGGAGACCTGGATGGGAGAAACGGGCGACATGTCGCTCACTCAGCTGTGCCTGCCCGGGTATCAGGTGCAGCATCAGCCCTGCCTTGGGGGGACGGGGTGTAGCTCTAATCCACCAAGATTCAATCTGCCTTGTGAGGCTTCCTGTCCCTTCGAGACCAGGTCTGGAGTGTTTGTACCTGGTGCTGGGTGATCGAGACAGACTAGGGATTCTATTGGTGTACTGTGCACCTTTCTGCCCAAAGATTCCCTGCCTCAGCTGATGGAGATCATCTTGAATCTGGTGTTGATGATCCCCAGGATGTTAGTCCTCGGGGACTTCAATTTCCATGCTGAGGCTGTTCTGACTGGGGCAGCTCAGGACTTCATGGCTGCCATGACAACCATGGTGCTGTCCCAACATGTCATTGGCCCAACACATGAAAAAGGCCACACTCTAGACCTGGTTTTCTCAATGGGGCAAGAAGATGGTGGACTGGAAGTGAGGGGTTTGACTTGAATCCCTTTGTCATGGTCAGATCACCTCCTCATGAGGTTTGAACTCGGGGCCAATTTCCCCCTCTGTAAGGGTGCAGACCCTATTAAAATGGTCCACCCCCAGAGACTTATGGATCCAGATGGATTCCTGCAGACTCTGGGAGATTTCCCGGCTGATAAAGCTGGCGCTTCTGTCAATGCCTTGATTGATGTGTGGAATGGGGAAATGACTAGGGCAATTGACACAATTGCTCCTAAGCATCCTCTCCCACCTTGTAGAGCCCACTCGGCACCATGGTAGACACCTGAGCTGTGGGTGATGAAACAGGCTGGGAGATGACTAGAACACAGGTGGAGGAAATCCCAGGACGAATCCGACTGAGCACATCTTAGAGCTCATTATCAAACCTATGCTGTGACAGCGAAGGCAGCAAAGAAAGAATTCTTCTCTTCCATTGCATCCTCACAGTGCCATCCAGCTGAGCTTTTCCGAGTGGTACAGGGCCTTTTACAATCTGACCCCAAAAAGGATCTGATCGTACCATCCATAGCTCACTATGATGACTTTGCCCAGCACTTTAAGGATTAAGTCACTTGAATTTGCCATGAGCTGGATTCCACAGTTGTTGAGACTCTGTCCAGAACACCATCTGGTCCATCTTTGTTGGATGAGTTTCAATTGTTACAACCTGAGGATGTGGGCAAGGTGCTCGGATTAGTCCGGCCTATCACTTGTTTACTCAACCTTTGGCCTCATGGCTGCTCATTAGAGCCAAGGACAGGATATGTACCTGGGTCCAGGAGGTTATCAACACTTCTCTGAGGGAGGGGAGGGTCCCTGCCCCTTTGAAGGAGGCAATGACCAGCCCTGTCCTGAAGAGAGTGTCCCTGGACCCAGAAATAGCTACCAATTATAGACCAGTAGCTAATATCCCTTTCTTGGACACAGTGCTCGAGCAGGTGGTGGCCAGACAACTCCAGGGACCCATTTCAATCTGGCTTCAGGCCCAGCTATGGAATGGAAACTGCCTTGGTCACCCTGTATGATGTTCTGTGCAGGATGAGGGACAGGGGGAGTGCATCCCTGTTGGTTCTCCTGGACTTCTCAGTGACTTTTGATACCATCAGCCATGGTATCCTTCTGGATAGGCTGGCCAAGTAAGGGTTGGAGGCACTGCTGTGTGGTGGTTCCAATCCTACCTGACTGGCCGATTCCAGAAGGTGATGCTGGGGATTGTGGCTCTGTGCCATGACAACTTTGCCATGGAGTTCTGCAGGATTCCACTGGGCTATGGATTCACCAGTACACTGATGACACTCAGCTCTACCTCTCCTCCTAGTCCAGGTGAGAAAGTGGCCATCTTTAACTGGTGCCTGGCCAGGGTAATGGGCTGGATGAGGGCCAATAAATTGAAGCTCAATCCAGATAAGACAGAGGTCCTGTTGGTAGGCAGTTCAGCCCTACAGGTGAGTGACATCTGTTCTGGACAGGGTTCCACTCTCCCTAAAGGACTGGGTGCACTGTTTGGGAGTGCTCCTCAATCCGGAGCTGTCCCTGGAATCCCAGGTGGCAGAGGTGGCAAGGAGTGCCTTTGTCCAGCTTTGACTGGCCTACCAACTGTGCCCTTACCTGGATGAGCGATGCCTTGCAACAGTGACCCATGCTATGGTAACTTCCTGACTGGATTATTATAATGCGCTCTACGTGGGGCTGCCCTTGAAGATGGTCTGGATACTTCAATTGGTTCAGAACAGGGCTGCCAGGATGTTAACGGGGACCGGCAGGTGTTCACATAAAACACCACTCTTCTGTTGTCTACACTGGCTACTGATTGAAGTCCTGGCCCAATTTAAGGTGCTGGTGATGACCTATAAAGCCATAAACAGCTTGGGTCCTGGATATCTGAAGGAGCATCTTCTCCCCTATGTGACCTCCCGCCCCTTGAGATCTAAGTCAGAGGCCCTCCTCTGGGAACCATCCTTGAAAGAGATCAAGAGGGTGACTATCCAGAGGAGGGCCTTCTCTGCGGTGGCACCCCTATTGTGGAATGCACTCCCCAAAGAGGTTCGCCTAGTGCCAACACTTCTATCCTTTCAGCATCAGGCAAATCCTTTTTATTCTCCCAGTATTTTAATTGTTTACTTGCTTTAGTAGAGGGTTTATATTTAACATTGGATGCTGGGCAATTGTTATCTTAATTTTATTTTTAGACTAATTTGCTGTAAACTGTCCTGAGACCTTTAAGTATGGGATGGTATAGAAAAGTTTTAAATAAGTAAATAAATAAATAATAAATTATCACAAGGGAAAAATAATATACCAGGATTGCTTAATACCATTCATGTTACAGTTGGATTAGTTTTCCAGAATCATCATCATTGCCCAAAAGGAAGGTCTTATCACAGAACCGTTACTTACTGACCAAAAGGGAGAATGGGTTGCCAGCGTGTTCTGAGTTATACCAATAGACTGAACCAGTGTGGTATAGTAGTTAAGAGTGTGAGACTGGGACTTGGGAGATCTGGGTTCTAGTCCTCACTCAGCCATGGAGCTCACTGGGTGACTTTGGACCACTTACAGCCTCTCATTCCAACCTACTTCACAAGGTTGTTGTTTTGAAGAGAGGAGGAGGAGGAGAATTATGTAAACTGCCTTGAGTTCTTAGAAAGGATAAAAGGCAGGATACAAATATAATAAAATAAGTAAATATACTGAACTAGCCTGAAGGTGCAAGGGGAATACCTTCCTATTGTTCAGGAGCTAATCAAGAAAGCATTTTTGTGAAAAATTAAGCATGCTCCCAGTTTAATCCAGAAAAAGTTGCTCCTAATATCAGTAGTTGGAAAAGACTACAGTAATAAAAATAATGCACAAACATTTTTTTTATTATCTATCTATGGAAGACAAGGACTGTTACATCATTGTAGAGGCCAATAAATTTGTTAAATTATTGAGTAAACCTCTGCCAAACCTCTTCATTTATATTCTTCAGAAAAAGAAAAAAGGAAAAAAGGGTGGAAGGAAGAAAAAATCTAAGAAGGAGAAAGATCTAACTCCTGACAGGTAAAATGCACCTGCTTCTCTATGGTTCACTTTGACACTTCTCTCTCTCTTTTGCCTGTACTCAAATATGAAACGGAGTCAAAGTTGGAATGTGTAAGCCTGAACCTAATAGCTTTGGTTCCTTGGCATTTATGGAGAATCTAGCACTGGATTCTTCTTAGGTGGCTTTAATAGAGATAGAGAAATTTTTCTAAGGAAATGCCAACCACCAATTTTCAGAAAGTTCATTTTGGTTTATATGAATCTTATGTATGGAGCTTAGTATTTTATATTTTCATCATATATCTAATGCTTCTGTAAAAAAAATGTCATTAAATTTTATTCCTTGTGTCAGGTGTAGGAACACCTGGTAGTTTCAGATATCAGACCTTTCCATCTGTTTTTAACAACCCTTATATAGGATGTTAAATTTTCCCTTCTGCAATATTTGAACATAGCAGTACTCCTTTCCTACATGAAGCCAATCAAAATATATCCCGACTCTTGACACTGTCACATAAATTGCTCATATAGAGGAGTGCTGTGAAAAGTTTAGGGTAGATGATGTTGCCAACTGTTACTGAGGCTGTTTGAAGCTATCTTAGTATAAAATAGGTCTCATAAATAAGTAAATGAGAAATAATTAGATATAGCTTCACTACCATTGCCAGTTATCTGGTTCTTCCTATTCCATCTTAAAACCATAATTATTCACTATTTTCAGTGGGGTAATTTTAGACGTTGGTTTCACATGCCCACCCCATGAGACTCCTCATTTTAGATGGTAATCTATGAAATTCAGTTATTTCAAAATGAAGTATGCCAGCCCTCCTGCACTTGGCAGCCTGCCTGCTCAGTGTGCCTAATGGGGTTGTAGACTTCTGTCTCAAGAACATGCCTTGATAGCACTATTTATTGTATTATTTAGATCTGACAAATCACCGCATGATAAAATAAACAGCAGGACGATGTGGCTTTACACCACTATATTCCTATTTCTACAGAAATATTAACACAGCCTACTTGCTTTTCTAGGTGCACTAAATTTTGGGATGTGGATAGACCCATCCCATGTTCCAAACATCACAAAGTACTATTTCCAACATCACATTTTTGGTACATGAGTGTGTGTGTAAAATTCCTTCACGTAAACAATTCAGTGTCATTATAATATGCTATATCAGTAACTAACTGCAAGGTAAGACATGTATTGCAGAGTTCTTCCTGGAATTTCATAATCCCCAAAACCTTTCCATAAACAAAATATCTTTCTAAAACCGATTTGTTTGCCATATTGCAAGCTCATATTTTCCAGAATGGGAGTGACTTGCAAGGAGCTTTCCTCTGATGTTGAACTGTAATTATATGTTTCAAGCAGCCCTGAGGTAATGTGATCACAAAGGTTTGACTTCCAAATTTCCAGGAAATATTTTACTCTTAAGTAATCAATGTGTATCCAGATAACAGTACCTGATTTTAAATGTTCATGGGTTTTGTTTTTAGGTAGAATGCAATTTTATGTATGCTATATTTATAATAAATGCATATGAATGTTTACTCAGAAGTCTCACTATGATCAATGAGGCTTGCTTTGGGTTGTAGCCCAAGTGCTTCATTTTTCAGCACTAATAGTGATGCTAAAAAATAAAACAAGTTTTTTAGAGTTTTGAAGTTTACCACTGATAGATGGAAAATACTGTTACAGTTACAATAACTATAAAATATTGAAATTATCATTATTGCATGTAAAAAGTGTTCATGTTAGCCATATTACTTTTGAAGGTTTCTTTTATAGAAGAGTGGCTCCTTGGCTACAAATCTAGTTATGTACTTACATATCTCTGTGTAGGACCATTGATTCTCTCTATCAGGAGCTGGTAGAAGAAGGAATATTAATAAGAGCCAAGAAAGTGAAACTCAGCGATTATGTGGGTAAAGTATAAACTTCATATGTCAATACAGAAGTACTTTCTTTGACTTACATTCATAAGTACTTATGTTGACTGATTTTGGAATTACATTTAATATTTATAACTTTACAGTATTATACAATATGCCTCAAACAAATAAGATAGAGTAGGCTATGAATAAACAAACAGTATAACCATTCACTCCAGTTTTGCTCCAGATAGAGGAATTAATTTGTGTATAACTACTGATACAAAACACAGGTTGTAATAAATTCACACTTTCTAGTTCTTCAACATTTAGGCTGTGACTTAACAAGCATATTTTCTCATTCTTGCCATTCCGTCCTCTGGCAAGCAACTATCAGAAAATTAAGGGTTTCTTTCAGTAATGCTTCCCTACTTGTTTGATTTTTTTAATGTTTCTTAAGAAGCAACCAGTGAATGGCATGAACAAATCTTTTATATCTGCAAAGATTAGATATATTTAGGAGAAACATAAAATGCCTCAGCAACCGTACAAGATCAATATTATAATTATGCAATATCAATTGATATTAATCTGTAAAGTATAAGCCAAAAACAGATATATATTGCCTTTCAAATGCACTGAAGCATTAACAAACACACAACCAAGAACTGTGTTCCTGCAAAGTACCAATTGCAGAAGATAGCAACAGATTTCCATGCCCCAATCTCCCATGCCCCAATTTCTTATTTTGGTGCAGTTCTTGGGGCTCCAGCAGAGAGGAAAGAGTGTTGTTTGGTCTCTTCCCTTGTTCTCTGCTGCTTCTGGGGGGGCTGTGGGGACTGCAAAGCTATATCTAGCAGATGCTGGTGGCTCTAATATTAGTGGAGCAGAGTATCCACTCCAGGTTGTGAATTGAATGTTAAAGAGCTATACATGCTGCTTCACCTGCTGGGGCCAAGAGAAAATAAAGAGAATGATGAAGTTAAACTAAGCAGTGATTGCTGAGATTCAGACGTAAGTGAACTGGGAGCTGCTCATCACACCTTGAATCTGAGTGCCCTTTTTCAATCCCTTTCCTACAAATTCCTTGTATGAAATTTGTCTCCCCCCCTTCCCTCCTTTTTAATGAAGCACATCAGAATGGATGATCTACCACCATGAACAAGATCTTTTCCTTGGTTAGTAACCAGGTACTGGCCAATTCAGTTTCCAAACCCACAATAAACTTTAATCTTGCTTAACTGAACCTAGTTTGCTATTTTGTTACCCATTCACCCAATTTGGACAGTGCCTTTTGCAACTCTTCCTAGGTTAGGTTTTCACCATCCTTAACAAATGATGTCTACCACCTTGGTTTCTCCATGGCCTGCCAAATGTTAAGTGGATGGACTCATTGCCACCTTTACTCTTTTATCATTACCTTGAAAAATAATCTCCTTTGTGCTGTCCCTCCTGCATCTGACTCCTTGAGCTTATTTTTGTGAATTACTAAAAAAAAGTCAATAATGTAGTTCATATTTCTGTGGATACTAAGTGAAAGGCAATCAAAATGGTCTCTATCCTTTGAAAGAGCAAGAGCGGCTGAAGAGCTTTTATTGCATTGCTGTCTGGCCCCTGAAGCAGAAGCTGCTCGAGCTGCCAGCAAGGGTAAATGCAGGAGGCACAGCACATATGTGTGGTCAGTAACAGGAGGCATTAGCATTGCTGCTGAGGACAATTAACAAAATGCATTACTCATATAAATGGCAATATGCATGCTTGCATTTAAAATCCAGCATTATTTTATAATTTCTGAAGGAAAGTTTATCAAACCATTGTCAAGCCATAATCCTTCTCTTTAACAAATGCCTTTGTCCCACCTCCAGCGCCATTTACCACCTTAAAGAGAAATAAAGTAGGGGGAAGACAGATAAGAAGATGGATGCTTCCAACAGCCTCATTCGGCATGTGTTCCTTGAGAGCTGCATTTTACTAGGGCTGCAGTTCCACACACAGTCCCCAGAAAGAAAGGCTACAATCTTATGCCCACTTATTTTGGTGTAAGAAGAACTGAATAGTAGAGCAGGACTTGTGTTTTAGATTCCTACTAGGGGCAGCCCAAGCCCTGTGCATAGGATTATGGTATGAAGCAATAACATTTCTGACTGCCAAGTTTGTACTATTCTCTCATCAGATTTCCAGAAACTAAACAGGTGAAATTCTTCCTGGTATGGAGATGGTTCTGGCCCTGCCATTAGGCAAAGAGAAAGGGAAGCCCTGTCTCAGACAGCTGTTGCAGTGTTATGAGAGGGCTGCCATTTGTTAAGGCCTCTCCCCAGCCCTTCAGTCTACTGATGTAATACCAATAGCAGGATGGGCACAGCCTAGTGAGAGCAAGTCCCCCCCCCCCTCTTTTCACCTATCTAAGTCTTACTTTAGATTACATTGCTACATCCCAACCAACCTCTGTGTGCTTGCAGAAGGGAGATGTGAATATCAGCTAAGAGATCCCATCCAAGGCCATTTTCCAACTGAACAAGCAAAGCATCCAGCATTCTGATTGGGTCTGGTGACTTTCTGATATCATTTATATATAATTCCAGTTGCTAAGCAAGCTTTATAGTTTTAATAACTATTGAAGCATCTCAGTGAAATGGGTTAATGCTACTCCAATTTTACAGATGACAAAAAGGGACCTGATTGTGGGTAGCCTTGGCAAGTCTCTGAATTTTGCAAATGTTCTGACACTCTGTCCCTGGGGCTGTATTGGCTCCCATTATTAGCTTGAAGCCTTGATTTTTAAAAAGTTCACATTGGTGATCCAATTAAAACAATATTTGTTACTTAAAAACCTGCTAAGTCTTGATGGATATTATATTTGGATTCCCCAGTATTTGTAATGTCTACAGTTAAGCATTTTGTAATAATAACACAGGCTTGCAGTATTATGACTTTCTCTCTTCCCTGTAGGTGAGTACTGCTACCTGGGGACTACACTTCGACAGGTAGACATAGAACCCATGCCCTCTCTCTCAGATGTCAAACAGCTCATTGCTTTGTATGGAATATTGCCATTGGGTAAGATCACAGCAGAAATTGCCAAAGGGCAGAATACCAGTCTTTGCTTCCTGTCAGCCTCATATATTTTTACTAGCTGTGAAAGTGCTTGATTGATTCTGGTTGAAAGTGTTCCACAGAATTCTTCAATTACATATTCTGGGCTGAGACAATATGATTTTAACAGCATGCTTAAAAGAGGAGTGTCCTTGCTGTGTGTTTGACATACCATTTCTTTACCATTTTTGTTTGTATCTTAATAGAATGGGAACTGCTGCACATAAAACAAAGTCACTTGAGGAAAGTAATGCTGAATACAAGCTCCATTGGTTAAATTTAATCAAGTTAGGGGAAAGGCTAAGGTTGCAATTTACCTTTTACAAGCAAGTGAATGTGTCTTGCTATTAAATGCTTCCATTAAACAATGGAAGCATTTATGAAATTAGTCAGAGCTCTTTTAAGATAGTAAAGTACTTTTAATTGTCCTTGTCCATTTTTAATACCAGAAATTATTAGCAACAATCTACCATGCTTGTTTTCTTTAAAAATACTATATGTATTGCCATTGTTCTAAGATGATGCAGGATAACATTTGTAATCATAGATCTGTGGTTAAAAAAAACTGTAATGCAACAAACACCTTTGTACTTTGACTCTATGCTACTAATACTCTCAGAGAGATCTCAGAAGAAAACATGGTCATTATATCTGACTATACTCACTCATAGTCAGATACTGGTGGCTGTCATCCAATCTCAAACCAGACTGAGCCAGAAGATGAAGTTTAGTGGATATGGTTTGAGTGTATGCATCCAAATATATAATGAGAAGCAAACATAGTCTTAGGCATTGCTCGTATGGAATAAGATCAGACTCATGCTCAGATTCAGGAAAGCAAAAAGCAGGACAAGACATTCTAAACTAGGAAAATTAATTTTGCATAAGAAATCATTTTAAAACACAGATCTTTGTAATTAAATCACAACATAACACTTTTTGTACACTTTTATATATGTTCAAAATATCTGGAACATTGTGATAAGCATCTGTTGGCCTAAAGTGTTCCTGACTATCTTTCTTGTTCAGAATTTACCATTGCAAAGTTGATTACCTATAGTGTTTATATCCATGTTGCAAAATTCTATACATCTCTACTCAGAAGCAAACCCTGTTAAATACAGTTATGCCAAGGTAAATGTGCATAAGATTGTAGCCTAAGAGACAATTCAAAGTTGCATTTGATGCTATATTATAGTATCATCAAATGTGGCATTTTTGAAGAGACAATTTTTGAAGCTATACGTAAAGAAACATTTAAACTAAACTTGTGTCACTGCATACTTTTTCTGAAGATAATTCTATGAACACATCTAGGGTTGCAGTCTAGTTGGGCTACTTTGTGTTCCACTTTGTGTTCAATAGTTTGCACTTTGTGTTCCAGGATAATATCATATTCTATGTTACGTAGACTCTTTTAAGTTATTTTTTAAAAGACTGAGTATCACAGTTTATTCTGAAATCAGCTCACAGAAAAGGTTATCTGATGAAATGTCACACTAGTTCACCCTGGCAATAGGTATGTGTGTTGTTGCACAAACAACCCATGGTCTCCCCCTACCTTCTTGCTCTTCCTTCCCAGGAAACTTGGTGGCTGAAGCTATATACTCCTTAAAAATTACCAAAGTTCCTTTTCCAAACAACTCTGCATAGCCTTTCCTAAATCTCTGTTTTAAGAAAGCCTACTTCTAACAGCTGTCAGTTGCAGGTGTTAGTGAAAAGTGGGCAAGGTACACTTTTCTATTTTCTTGAGCACCTAGCATCCCAAGAATTGGTGCAAAAGTTGGATACTGGGCCCTACAGAAGGGACATTGAAAATCCTGAGGAACTTACTGTGAAGGCTCCTGCCTGTTTTTGCAAGCAACAGCCACTCATCATTTGCTCTGACTTGTCAAAGAAACATCATTGTCAAAGAAAACTACCTTTTTAACACTTAAAAAACTGTTTAGAGCGTTTATGGGTCAATGCTCAGGTTTGGTAACAGCTGCAGGTAGCCCAGGGCCCCAGGACATTTCCCAGCTATTTCAGACTCACAGAAGCATGGACCTCTGTATTTGTGCAAGTTTGACTAGATGTTTTAAAATTATACCTTTGTAGTGCATACTTTAAAAAAAGAAAAAGAAAGAAGGGGGTGATTAGACCAGTGAGAGGCCCTCTACTTGAAACTGAAGTGGGGATGTCACTGCTGACAGCATGTCTACTTCCTTTTATCCATGGTAGAATCAGTCACCCAGGTTTGAATGGCACAGCAAGCATTGTAGTAAAACAACCTTTACAACAACTGTGAGTTCTCAAGGTGAATTGTTGGGTGGGGGGAAATCAAGCAGTTTGTAGGAAGCAGTTTTAGTTCTGATGACAGGACAACCCACTGTGGCTACGTACCCACAATGAGTTATCATGTCATGTGAACCAGGTCTTTAACTTGCCAAAAAAATCTAAGTAAAAGGCAGAGGTGGATTCTAAATTCCAAAACAAAACCACTCTTTTGAACCCATTTTTTTCTGTTTGTTTAAGGCATTTCTATACCATTCACTTAGCTCAAAACTTTCAGAACAGTATACAGAATATTTAAACATTTCCTAAATAACAATTTAAAAACAGATTTAAAACAAACATATCTGACATAAAACTTAACAAAACAGTTCAACAACATATTTTACAAACAGCAAACAAAGCAATAAAGAACAATACATAATAACAACTATTCTCTTTCAGCACTCATTTCACAGAAGGCAAACTCTTAAGGCTTGGAGACAGGAAACAATACAAAGCAGAGGTTGCTGTGTTTCACATCCTAAATCATATTTACCCCCATGTTGCAGTTTCACAGGTGGCAAACTGGTGATCAGAGAAACACATGCATGCCAGAAAACATACAGAAAAAACATAGAGCATGCCAAATCCAGCAAACAAGCTAACTCACAAAAGGCAATGCATGCACAGAGATAGCACAGTGATAGCACTCACCTCACTCCTGACCCCTTCTAGGCCCTCTGCCCTGGACACCCTCTGCCATCCCCAGTGTACTTTTTTGGGCTTGGCTGGGCATGCTTCAGAACAAGCACTGAAGACCCCATGAGAGCCAAGAGGCACTCTTGACAGTAAAAATTATACTGAAGGCTGACACTTTGTGGCATGCTAGCCTCCTGGTTTGAAAAATAATCATTTAAAACCATCTAAATAACTAAAATGCAAATCAGATGGTCAGGGAATTTGTGGACACCAAAAGAAGGTACCACAAGCACATTGGTGCCCATGGGCATCACTTTAGAGACCCCAGACATAAAGGTAGTAACAGCTTTGAATTACTACTTAGCTACTTTTCATATGAGAACAACTGGTCAATATATTAAATGTCTTTGGAAGCAAGTGTACACCACTTGTACAAGGTCTGGATTTATTGTCCGCATGTAGAGCAGAGATTTTTCATGATGAAAAATATGGAAAGGAGGATGGAGAAGCAAAAATTGCCTCCAGCACTCCTCCCACCCTGCTGGCAGCAGCTCAGCAGGGCATAGGAACTTGGAAGAATGCAGAATTCTGTCTAGATTGCACCCTTACTTTTTTGCTTTTTCATTGCATGTTCCTGACCTGGAACCTTAGATTACATACTGGATTATTGAAAATAAGTATATAATTATGGGAGATTAAAAGTAAAATTATCCACACTTTGCTTCCATAGGTTCTCAGACTGTACATGAGAAAGCACCTCTTGTAAAATCCTTGCTCTTGGCTGGACCTGCAGGAGTAGGGAAAAAGATGCTTACCCATGCTCTCTGTACAGAAACCGGTGCCAACCTCTTCAACTTGTCTGCTGCAAATATTGCTGGTAAATACCCTGGCAAGACTGGTTTGCAAATGATGCTTCACATGGTTTTTAAGGTAGGACACATAGATTATCTCTTTTAATCTTTTCTGTAAATTTACAGAACCCTCTATTACAGTGTTAAGTATGTTATCCCCTATTATGTACTTTTCCTGGTTTTGCTTCTGATTAATTTTGCTGCAGATACATCTTTTATAAGTTGATATTCCCCTCCCCATGCATGCAAGCACGCACACCCCTTTTTTGGACTTGGCATAATTCTCCTACAGGATATAATGAACGATTTCCTTCCGAGTCACCATAACCATCTGTGAGGATCCTCTCCCTGACATGTTCTGTATAAGCGTTCCTTGAATGAGTCTTTTATCATATGCTTGCAAATTACCATCTTGAAGCAATGACCCCATCAGCTATTCTTTTCCGTTTGCTTCTAAATAACTACATGTCCTCAGAAATGCTTCATGCTGCCGTTCAGTATTTGGCCTTGCCACATTCAACAGTTTGGATAGAAACTCATTACTTGCATACTGCCATTTATCCTGTTGAGTTTTCTTTAACTTTGATAATATATGTAGCCATAATCTTGGACAAGGAATACCTTGTAATTCCTCTCATTACAAGTAAGCATTCATCACAATGCCTTTTACAATTTTAATGGTTTCAGCAAACTGACTTGTTCTTAGTTTTACATGTTTACTTTTTGCTTTTGCTATGATGATAAATGCCTCGAAATAAGCAATCTTATTTTTAAATGATCCCTGACTTAAACAAACACTTCTTTTGAAGGTACTGTTTACCTTATAGCCATGTTTCATCAGTTATGTATTTTATGTATTCACTTTTGATCCAGCAGTTGCAAATATGTCACTGCCATATAGTTTGTTTGATCCCTTCTGTCTCGTTTTTTCTTAGTGTTGACCTTTTTCAAATTTTAATAGTTATTTACAAATTTCGCAGACCCCTGACATCATGAGCATGTGGCTCTTGTTAGATCTCTTCTAAATATCATAAGCCATTTTGAGGATTCTACTTAAAAAAGGGATACATCTTCTAATAACAAATGAATAAATTTAATGGGTGTTTTTCAACTTCAGACAGACACTCAGCGTTCTTCGTCGTGGTCTCCATGCATCACACATATATGGGTGTGGTTCCTGCACAGTGCCTGTTGCCAGGAAGAGCTTTAATGGTTTTGGCGGGACTCCATGCACCCCCTTCCCCTATAGTATAAGTGGGCAGAGTGCCCACCCCTTTGCCAGTCTGCTTGCAACCGCCATTCACCGTGCCTCAGGCCCTTTTGCTTGTCTCCTCGTCTGTTTCACAATACTTTACTTCAATTTCTTCAATTACTTCTAAAGTTCTAACTTTTTTTGCTTTATACCCTTCTTGATCACTCCCTTTACCCAGTTGTTAACTAACCTTACTGAACCGCTTTTCATCTTTCTCCCTTCCCCCCAACCCTTTCCAAACACAGACAAACAAACAAAACCCTCTATCATCTTAACCTTACCGCTATACTTTTTCTCCTTCATTCTCAATGGCTTTTCGCAAGTATGCTCAGTGCGGAGCTAACATGTCTCCCGCTGATCCACACTCCCTCTGCCTCCTCTGCCTAGGAGAGGGACATAGAACTGACAAGTGCAGCCACTGCCAATCTTTCAGGCAGGCTTGGAAAAACCGAGAAAATCAGCTATACAAGAGGTCTCTCATCAGATATTGGCTCCTCTGCAGCTCCCAGATCTTCAAAGAGCGCCCCCTCTCACTCATCCAAAGGGGACACTGTTGGTCGTGATGGAAAATGCTCTTCTCGCTCTCCTCCCAAGAAACATAAGGAGAAAAGGAAGCATGTTGGGTCCAATGAGGCAACAAAACCTAAACATCCCAAGAAGGACAGACCCGACAAGACTGAGCACTGGCACAAAATACATCCTAAAGTGCCTCACTCCAAACCGCTTGATTTGCCTGCCTCGGTACCAACCCAGCCTCCCAGCCGCCGGTTGGGTATGCAGGTGACACCTCCAGCGTCACCCCTGCGGATCACCATCTCCCCACACTCCAGTCCCGACTGCTTGGATCCATTGGCTTGAGCCTCTATCTCAGATGGAGAAATCCATGAATCACCACCTCAGTCGAGACTTGAACATCAACTTGTGTGGTCGCCGACTCCTACACCTGCCAGGCATTCATCTCCAGAGGAATCTCCAAGGGCCTTCATCGCCCTTCCTCCCTCCTACCTCCACAACCTCCTGCTCCACAACCTTCACGGTACTGGGTACCTATATCCTATGGGGACTTCAATCCCAACTGCATGGACTGGCCCTATCCATGGGATTTCTATCCCCCATATGGCTATTACCCACCACCAGCAATGTGTCACCACCATTCCACCCCTCGGTGTTGAGGGACGCTCCATCAACATCCACCATGGTGCTCACCCGTCCACCAACATCACCTGATGGCTCTTCCACTAGTCCTCCATATGAGACTGATCTGGATTCGGAAGAATCCCAACAAATCTCCACCTCTCCTAACATCATGATCACCATCCATGCTCTAGGATCTCCTAGAGACAGCCATGGTTGGTTCTCAGAGCTGCTCACTCATAAGTCCTTGTCTCTCCAGATCAACGTTCGGCCATGTACTGAAATGAACCAGGACAACATCTCCAATGTAGTTTGCAAAGAAGACTCTGTTCCAATTGCCCTGCTGTTCATTTCAACTCTTTGACAGGTGATGACAGAGTCTTGGCAGCTGCCAAATCACCCTTACCCTATCTCTCGGCATTTGCAGGCCATGTGTAAGGTTCAGGAGCAGGATATACAGTTCCTGTTGAAATATCTTCAACGCCATCATCAACGAGTCGACACAGGGTCATCAGTCGAGAGAACACCCAACTCCATCTGACTGAGAGGGGAGAAAAATTGACATGATACCTCTCTGCATCTATGCCGCCATGGGTCTCAGTCTGCGGATCTCTAATTACAAGGCCGCTATGGCCCATTATCAGTACTTTCTTTGGCAAAAGATTGAGTCCCTTGCTGCATTCCTCCTGAACATGCAAAGGGAACTTGCCCACATCTTCACTGGGGAGGCAATGCAGCTCTCAAAACAACAGCTCACCACAGCAAGATTGCAACTCAAGGGCGCTCATTGGTGCCGTAGCCCTCTGAGCATGCCTGGCTCAAAGTGGGGAAGCTGCTTCAAGAAACTAACCAAAGAGTCGAAAACATGCCTTTCGATGGCATCAGTCCTTTCCATTCAAAGACCAACGACAGGCTTGCCCAGCACTTTAAGGAAAAAATTGATCAGATTCACCATGATCTGGATTCTGCAGTTGATATGGTTCTAGTACAGGAGATGTCCAGAGCACCGTCTGGTCCATCATTATTGGATGAGTTTCAGTTACTGTGGCCTGATGATGTGGATGAGGTGCTTGGAATGGTACGTCCTACCACCTGTCTTTTGACCCTTGTCCCTCTTGGCTACTTAAAGAAGCCAATCACAGAATTGGTCCCTGGGTCCGGGAGGTTATTAATGCCTCGCTGAGGGAGGGCCAGGTTCCTGCCCCCTTGAAGGAGGTGGTGATCTGGCTTATCCTGGAGAAGGCGTCTCTGGACCCAGAGGTGGCGGCCAATTTTAGACCAGTGGCCAACATTCCATTTTTGGGCAAGGTGCTAGAGGGGGTGGTAGCAGGACAACTCCAGGAACTCTTGGATGAAACGGATTATCTGGACCCATTTCAGTCTGGCTTCAGACCCAGTTATGGTACTGAATCTGCCTTGGTCGCCCTGTATGATGACCTTTGCAGGGAGAGGGACAGGGGGAGTGTGTCCCTGTTGGTTCTCCTGGACCTTTCAGTGGCTTTCGATACCATCAGCCATGGTATCCTTCTGGATAGACTGGCCGGGTTAGGAGTTGACGGCTCTGCATGGCTGTGGTTCTGCTCCTACCTGGCCGGCTGATTCCAGAAGGTGGTGCTGGGGGACTATAGTTCTGTGCCATAGCAGCTTTGCCATGTGGTTCTGCAGGGACTTATTCTGTCCCCCTTGTTTTTCAATATCTACATGAACCACTGGGATAGGTCAACAGGAGGTTTGGGCTGTGGAGTCACCAGCACGCTGATGATACCCAGCTCTGCCTCTTATTTACATCTACTCCAGGTGAGGCAGTGGATGTACTGAACTGGTGCCTGGCAAGGTAATGGGCTGGATGAGGTCCAGTAAACTGAGCTTCAATCCAGATAAGACAGAAGTCCTGTTGGTGGGCAGATCGAGGTTTCAGGTAAGTGATTTTGACCTTGTCCTGGACAGGGTAGCACTCCCTCTAAAGGACAGGGTCTGCAGCTTGGGAGTACTCCTAGACCCGAAGCTGTCACTGGAAATTCAAGTGGCAGTAGTGGCAAGGAGTGCTTTCCTACAGCTCCAGCTGGTCCACCAGCTGCGTCCTTATCTGGACAAACATTGCCTAGCAATGGTGATTCATGCTCTGCTAATCTCCCGGTTGGATTACTGTAATGTGCTCTACATGGGGCTGCCCTTGAAAACAGTCCAGATACTTCAGCTGGTACAGAATAGAGCAGCCAGGTTGCTAACGGGGACTGGTCGTTATTCTTATATAATGCTGGTCCTCTATCAGCTCCACTGGCTTCCAGGTAAAGTCTGGGCCCAATTCAAGGTGCTGGTTTTGACCTATAAAGCCCTGAATGGCTTGGGACCAGGATAGCTGAAGGAACATCTCCTTCTGTATATGCCCTCATGCCCCTTAAGATCTGCGGGAGAGGTCTCCTCTGAGAACCCTTCCTGAAGGAGGTAAAAAGGACATCTACTTGGAGGAGGGCCTTCCCTGTGGTGGGCCTTCCCAGAAGAGCTAGTAAACTATGTGGTCTTCGTGTTGACCCTCCATATCTCAATTTCCACAAGGAGAAATTAGTCCTCCGTACCGACCCAGCCTTTCTGCCTAAGGCTGAGACTCCTTTTCATCTTAATCAGGACATCATTCTACCGGCTTATTTCCCTGCTCCATTGACACCAATTGAGTGCTCTCTACACAGCATTGA